AAGCCTGCTTCTCCCTCTCCCACTCCCCCTGCTTGTGTTCCCTCTCTCGCTGTCTCTCTCTGTCAAATAAATAAAATCTTTAAAAAAAAAAAAAAGAAAAGAAAAGAAAAGAAACAAATCACAAATATCTAAACTGAGGGACATTCTCCAGAGCAACTAGCATGAATATTTATGTCAGTGTCATAAAAGACAGAGGCAAAACAGGAACACTATGCTCTAGGTTAAAGAAAACTAGAGACACAACAACCAAATGCAACAAATGATCCTTTGTTGGATCCGAGACTGGAGTTAAAAATAAATAGTTGTGGGGCGCTTGGGTGGCTCAGTCGTTAAGCGTCTGCCTTCGGCTCAGGTCATGATCCCAGGGTCCTGGGATTGAGCCCCGCATCGGGCTCCCTGCTCAGCCGGGAGCCTGCTTCTCCCTCGCCCACTCCCTCTGCCTGCTTGTGCCCCTCTCTCCCTGTGTCTCTCTCTGTCAAATAAATAAATAGAATCTTTAAAAAATAAATAAATATATAAATAAATAAATAGTTGTGAGTACATTATTAGAACAACGGAGACATCTGAAAGTGGGTTATGTATTAAACAACAGTACTGTAGGCTCGTTAAGTTTCACAAATGTACTAAAAATGCACTGTGATCATGTAGGATTATTCCCCTTCCTCCCAAACTCTTGTGTTAAGTATCAGAATGCTGCTAACTCTCAAATTAGAGTGCAAACAAATAATTTTTAAAAATAAGTAAAACCATGTATATGTGTACATGTACACAGACATATACACACAGGGGTAGAGGAGTGTGGCAAAAGTTAGCAATAGGTAAATCTAGATGAAGGATACACAAACATTCACTGTGCTATCCTTACAATTTTCCTGGTCTAAAAAAGGCAAGAGAGATCCTACATAATTTAGGTCAAATTCCACAGTTTATGGATATGAAAACAGAAGGCAGAGAAAATTTATTTTGACAGGCTCATCCAGCTAGGGTGTAGCAAGTATATAACTCAAGCTGCTGTGGTTTTACCTTTTCGCCCAATGCTCTGTCTCACACGGTCTCAGCCTCATCACACAGGGTGAATCCCACAAGGGATAAGGGGTGACCCGAGGCCGGGGGCTGACTACCAAGCAGATGTTCTAAACCATCAGTGGCAATAAGGGCCTGGTTTAGGGTCGGTCACAGATATGAAAGGAGGGGGCAAAATAAAGAAACAGTGTAACAGGAATCATAAAGACTTAGTGATATATTAGAGAAAAAAGAAATAACTTTATAATGTAGAAGCTGAAAAGATGGGAAAAGAAGAGTACTAGGGATAATATAAAAGAAAAACTGGAATAAGATGGCCATTTAGGATAAGAAACTTAGTTTGAGATATGTACCTTTCAATTTTAATGTCCCAAAATGTCAGCTACAAGTATACTAGAATATAGACCGTGGGAGGCTAGGGATTTTTGTCCTTTTTCTCTACGGATATATCCATAAGTAACCTCAACAATGCCTGGAAATAAACATTTTTTTGAGCAAATGAAATGACAGTTTATGAAGCATTCAGGTAGGTAGACAGGAAATGTATGAAATTTAAGAGAGGGTATATCAAAAGATACTTACTTTGTAGGTCCTTAGGGAAGTGGACACATTTCAGGTCTCCACCTTCTTCCAGGTCAGTTTAGAGAGCTCTGCCTGGAGTTCTGAGTAAGCTCAAATAATAGCTGTCTTTTTTTTCCCACTCTTCCTTTTATGTGTATCTTTATAGGAAACCTCACAGGGAGGATGCATGACTATGATCATATACCCTCTAGTACCTTCAAAACTCCATGATTATTCTGAACTGATTTCATTAGCCAAAGCAAGAAGTTCAGGGGTGGTCCCAGGACCCGCATCACCAGTATCAGCTGGGAGTTTGTCAGAAATGCAAATTCTTAGGTTTCGCCCTAGACCTACTGAATCAGAAACTCTGCAGGTATGGCCCAGTGATGTATGTTTTCAGGAGTCTTCCAGGGGATTCTAATGCACACCACAGAGCCAAAGACAAAATGAAGGTACTAAACTCTTATTTGACAAAATATCTACCTCATAGTTAAAGTCATTCTTCTTGAGATGCAGCTAAAAACTTAAGAACCAATTACATAAAAAGATACTTGTAATAAAATCTGGTGTAACATACCACATAGTCATAATTCATCATGTAGTGATCATACAGCAAAACCAGCCTACAATAAAAAAATTTTTAAAGGCACCTACTTACTTTAACGTTTCAGCAAGAAAGAAGCTCTGTTGTACATCATCATGTGTAGGAGTAGAAGAATACACATCCTTCACCCCAGAAAATCCACCACTGACTCGGCAATACTTTTCAATAGCCTATGAAAGAGATCAGACAAAAGAATCAGTTCCACAGAATTTCAAGTTTCGAAGGACAAATTAAGAAACCATGGTCAAAAGTTCACAAAGATCTATAAGAGAATTTGACAGGTTAAGAATAAGATTTATTATCAAATGGAAATATTCTCACACTGGAAAAATTAACTGAGGTATCCTGTTTCCTGTGGAAATTTTCCCTCTCCAAAATTCTTTAATCTTTTTTTTTTTTTTTTTAAGATTTTATTTATTTATTTGACAGAGAGAGAGACACAGCGAGAGAGGGAACACAAGCAGGGGGAGTGGGAGAGGGAGAAGCAGGCTTCCCGCTGAGCAGGGAGCCTGATGCGGGGCTCGATCCCCGGACCCTGGGATCATGACCTGAGCCGAAGGCAGACGCTTAACGACTGAGCCACCCAGGCGCCCCAACTCTTTAATCTTTTAAAAACATCTTACATTTTCCCACTTAGGAAAGTCAAGTTTGGGCTATTCACATGGAATTAGAGACCTATCTAGCACAATAAAGCCTTATTAATTTTGACAAATCGGGGAGGCCAGTTTGAATTAAATTTTAAAGGCAATTTTTTTCACTTCTAAGGATAAACAATACAAAACATGCTTAAAAAAGTACTACCTAGGAGCTCTCCATAGTAATAGCAATGAGGTAATATTCACTGCAAACATACTGTATAATAGACATTAAGTTACAAGTTAGGTATTACAGGTGGTACCAACTGGCAGGAAGTACCCACCCACGTACCTACTACAATAAATACAATATTATACTCTGGTTTCTCTTCAGATCACATAAATCTTTCGCCTTTTACAATAATTACAATATTAAGAGCTAACCATTATGAAGTTTTTGCTATATGCTAAAGGCTCTTCTAAAGGCTTCACATGTATTAACATTTAAATCTCTAATAACCCATGAGCTTGTTTTTTTTTTTTTATAGATTTTATTTATTTATTTGAGAGAGAGAGAATGAGAGACAGATAGCAAGAGAGGGAAGAGGGTCAGAGGGAGAAGCAGACCCCCCACTGAGCAGGGAGCCTGATGTGGGACTCGATCCCGGGACTCCAGGATCATGACCTGAGCTGAAGGCAGTCGCTTAACCAACTGAGCCACCCAGGCGCCCCCCATGAGCTTGTCTTAATAGGCTCTACTTCAGATTGGAAAACTAAGGCAAAGAGTAATAATTTGCTCCACATTATTATTAACGACTGTGCTCTACTGCCCAGCGTGGGAGATAAATTCTTAATTTAGATCTCTTCATGTATCTCTGAACATCTCTAAATAAAACACACTGAATCAAAAGGCACCCATTCAAAACCCAAATATCCTGCTTATGCAGGTGTATCACTTCAAAAATAGCCATTCATGAGAAGTTGATCACATGTGGTTCTTTTCTTTCTCTACTCTACCTAACCCTGAGATACTGTCAAATGAAGGTACAGTTATTTAATCATTACTGCCATGGCTCTTGTTCCTAATCTTGCCACCTTTCTTATTCTTCTGACCTTCCTCCTTTCTAATGAAAAGCTAATTAACACTGGAAGTTTTTATTTAATCAAGCTATTCATTTTTATATAGTTCCATTTTTACTATAGCTGGGTTTTAAAAGTCTTCTTACCAAAGAGTTTGGTATTTTTCTCTATCTAAATGTTTTTTTTTTAAAGATTTGAGAGAGAGAGGACAGAGGGTGTGTGCACGTGTGAGGGGAGGGGCAGAGAGAGAGGGAGAGAGAATCTTTAAGCAGACTCCCCACTGAGCATGGAGCCCAACAAAGGGCTCAATCCCAGGCCCCTGAGATCATGACCTGAGCTGAAATCAAGAGTCGGCCGTTCAACCAACTGAGATACCCAGGGCCCCTGTCTCTATATCTAAATATTTTAAACATATTTTAAATTCAAAGTTTTTAAATGCCATGTTCCGTGCAATGATCATGTGTCTCTACCACCAGAAAACTATCAGAGCAGTTTAAGGATACTGCAAAAGTAGCAGGGAGGCATGACTAATCTTTAAGCCATTTAGAGTCATTTCTTGAAGGCAAGTTTTCGTGCAAATATACTCAAGTTTGGAAGTCTGAAGATGTGAATGGAAGAGCTAAAGCTACAGAAGGCATACAAGATACCTGTCTTCCCTTCACCTTCTTCCCACCCAACAGCGAGGCCTGTGATGGACAAGAAAGCAACTTCTATTTAAGATGGAAATCCTCCTCTTTTGTCTCCACCCCTGCCTTTCCTCATCACAGCATACTTCTGAAACTTGAATTTAAAGTGTAATTATTTCAGTTCATGTTCTTTATACTCCGGTTGCCACTGTGAAACCTTCTTTTTACATAAATTGGTTTACATTCTGCCCTAAAACATATCTTGCATGTTCTTACCTAAGAAATTTACTAACACTAGAATAGAAAAATAAATAAATAAATAAATAAATAAAAAAAAAAGAAATTTACTAACACTATTTATCTCACCTAGAATGTCATCATTCTAACTAGGCTGCAAGCTTAAGTTAAACAATTGAAATATGAATATTCATCATAATTACTGCTATTTATCATAATTAGTATATCTCAAAGAATAAAATACTCCCTCACTCCCGGGAATATGCTATACTTTCATGAGAAGACTAATATTTTTCTTCCTCCCTAGGTACTGATAACCTTGGGTTCTCTGAGAGGCTATTTTAAGAATAAACCACTTGCCTTCTTTACTTACTAACCAGTAAAAATGTCTCATAAAAAGATAAGTAAATAAACAGTCTTTCAATCTAGAAAAATTTTAACAATTCATTGATTCTTCTTATGATGGTCCACTGAGAAATTACTTGGAACACAAGCTGAAGTGAATAGTGGGTAATCTACCCAGGCTGTGAGTCTGGGCAGTTTTAGGATTTGCTTTTTCTAGAGGTTAAGCCTTAATCGGCAAGTAAAGAAACTGTATAATCATACTGAAACCCATAATGCCTTTTAAATGACTTTTTATTATTCAAAAAGAACAATGAGTGAACACCAGTAGGAAAAGAGTTTTAATCAAGAACTAAACTGGATTCTAAGGTTTACTGCTACTGCTAAAGTAACTTAAATTAAGGGGCGCCTGGGTGGCTCAGTTGGTTGAGCATCTGACTTCAGCTCAGGTCATGATCTCAGGGTCCTGGGATCGAGCCCTGCAACAGGGACAGGCTCTGTGCTCAGTGGGGGAGTCTATGTAAAATTATCCCTCTCCCTCTGCCCCTCCCTCCCCTGCTCGTGCTCTCTCTCTCTTTTTAATAACCTCTTTCTAATCACACCAAGCACCCTAACTCTGGTCAAATCTAAATAAAATCTTAAAAAAAAGAAAGAAACTTGAAACTTAAATTGAGTCACAGAGTTTTTCCACCAGATAAATGAAAGTAGCACTACAATTACGGAACATGAGGTAACACGGATGAGGACATATGGCACTACAGGAAGGCTTGATTTAACGCTCTTGCACATAAAATGAAATCCTGGCTCATTTACCAGTGCTGCTTCCCAGCCCCACTGCCTGTATCTTGGATCGTGAGTGAATCGCCACAGGTACCAATAGGTTTCAATTACTTCTGGACGGAGGATGTAATACTTTTCAGCCTGCCGGACTGCCACGGCCTCTACTGCGCCATCAAACTTGAACGATTCAGGACCCAGCTTTAATGCTGCAACGTGACAAAAGAAACAAACGAGCACAATGAACCATTTGTGTTTGTTCGCCAGAGCTGCTTCTTCCCCTGAAAGAATGGGGTATAAGGTAAAGCTATGTTCATTTTATTTTTATTGTTGCTGTCTTGCAAAATCAGTGACTTCAAAAGATCTGCATTTGGTTTTCTTATACTAGCCCTATAAATATTCCTATTATTCTGACATGAAATGTGTCTCATACATGATGTACATCAATATACTGCTAAATCCAACTACACTGACAAGAGTCTAGTAATCCTCTGGCAACAAATGCAAAGCTAGACATAAGCACATTACATATTCTGTTCTGTTCCAAAATAAAATGAGACAGTAACTGTACTGTGTAGAATTTTTTTTTTTTTTTTAAGTCAGGACAATTTTAAAGTCCTTTTAACATAACACACATATGTAAGGAAACATTTTAGAGCTCGGATCTTGAATTAGATTTAGGTGTAGATTATATACTTTTCTTTTCAAGCACCCTATAATATATAAAAAGCAATATATTTTCAAACTTAAACCAGTTTTAAAGATAAACTCTTTTCTCCTATAGCCTCTGTATATATAGCAAGGAAGAGATTCAAACTGTCAATCACCAAGAATTTCATCAGTATTCCCCATTTATCAGTTTGAATAAAATAGGGCCATTACACATATATTTCAACACTACATACTATTTTTTGAATGACATGATTTCCATTCAAGGCTAGAATACAGCTCTACATCAAAGTCTTTTTAATAACCTCTTTCTAATCACACCGAGCACCCTAACTCTGGTCAGTATAAAGTCATCTTCCACTGGGATGATGGACTCACACACAATTACCACTCTCAGCTGCCATTTTACTTTCCTTTTATGGGTAGTTTCAAGGTCTCTTACCTCTTTCAAAAAATGCTAGACATTTTTATATTTTCTCAGAAAAGAAAAGGTAAAACAAGAACTATAATGCCGGTAGACCACAAACAGAATCATGCCATAGTTGCTGGAACGACATGGGTTGCTGTGGCCAAATTTCAGCACTACAAGGGAGACACTGTAAAGCTCTAACTAATCCCATACAAATGTGAAAATCAGGTCTTTCTCACCAACCATCACCCCCAAGAAAAAACACAAAACCAAAAACATTGTACCAATGGTAAATAGTTCTACTGAAAGCAAAACATGTGAGCAGAAGAGTTGACTGATAAGTCTTAGAGAACTAAAGCAGAACTCAAGCAGGAGATTTTCAACCTGAGGGTCATGAACTCTGTGATAGGCTCTGGAAGAACAGTGTTCTGTCAAGAAGCCTCTGAAATTGTATGCATAACTTTGTGTGCACACAGAGCTTTTACCAGCTCCTCAATGGGATTGGAGGTTAGGATTAACCAACAACTCATCAATATTTTTTGTTAGAGAACTTCTATCCAGTTTATTGATAAGGTCAGTATATGATCAAATATGATTTGGCATTTAGTAAATGCTTTTAAAATGATGATAAAAGTCAAACATCATTAAGAACTGAGATGATGGCAATCCAATAAAAACGTAGAGGAAGTAATTTTATCTAAATTTCTTATGTTTTTCCTTTCTCAAAGAATGAGTGCTAAGAGGTGATCATATGGAGTTTTCAAATGTTAATCTTAAGGCTAACTTTAAATTAGACAATAATTTCTGTAATGATATTATCGCCTGAGTTGGAAGTAGAAATTGGCTGCATGGAACTAGTATTTTAAACTTCTCACTACAAAGTGTATCTCTCTTATTGGCCATTCATAACTTCACAAATAAAACATACCAGAAAGAGAATATATCTGCTTTGTGAGGAGTTGGTAAATAAAAATGTACAAGCCTAAATTATATACCAGTTACATCCATTAGGCTGGTCAAAATCACTGGTTTCATGTTTCTGAGGGCATTATTTCTTAGGTGTTCCTTTGTTTAAGAATCGTAAAAAATAATTTTCTAACAATCTATCTTGCACTTAATTTCTATTTTCTATCTTAAATTTCCCATTTACATTTGGTACTTCATTTCTAAAAGGAAACTAAGCCAGCAAGTAAAAATTGAGTTGAAACCATAAATAATTTAGTGCCTAGGTAAAAAGAACTCTAAGAGGATGCAAAAATCATATAATGTAAGCAAAGGTAAAAGACATGCACAAATAAAAAAAAATCAAAGTAAAATATCAAATGTGACAAAGGTCAATAGTAAGATGGTGAAAGATACATTTAAAGAAGGCATAGATTAGTTCGCAAGTCATAGGAGTCCTCCAGATAGGCAGAATCTGTAGAGATGGGAAAAATAAGCATCTCAGGTCAACAAAAGATAAAAAAAGCATGAGGAATATTCTGGGACAGGCGATCTGACCAAAGTTTCAGTAGGCTAACAGTAAGGGAAGAACTTAAACTATTTCCCTATTAACTTCCTTTTAAGGAAAAAAAGAGTTATGTCCAAAACTTCATGTCCAATGGATTTTTTGTCCACTGAATATGTTGTATGTATCTAAACATTAAAATTTCCCCCAAAATATAATAGCACATGGTCTAGGGAAGACCTTAGCCAACTTCAATAAGAAGTAAATTAAATTAAATAACTCATTATTTTATTCATATTCAGTAGGTTTTGTTTTTTTGTTTTTTTTGTTTTAATCTAGAAACCCGGGGGGGGGGGGAAGAACAGTACTATATTTTGAAAGTCTAAGATCCTCCTGGAGTCCCAGGATCGAGTCCCGCATCGGGCTCCTTGCTCAGCAGGGAGTCTGCTTCTCCCATTGACCCTCCCCCCTCTCATGTGCTCTCTCTCTATCTCATTCTCTCTCAAATAAATAAATAAAGTCTTTAAAAAAAAAAAAAAAGAAAGTCTAAGATCTTGTTTGGCACCAATTCTGCCTTATACCTCAAAATAAACTAAAACAATGTATCAACCTAGCTTCCCATGTAGATACAGTAAGGTCTACACTAAACTACTACTCAGTTTCATGAACAGATTCAGCCATGTTTCCTACAAACCTAGCTAAATTATTTAGCAGCGGACCACGTTCATCAATAAGGTGAAATATATGAGGATTACCAAATTTTGCATTAATGTTAATTCTAATTCCAATAACAAATGAAAATGAAATTCCAAAGTCCTTATCATATGAATTTAGGTGGAATAACTGCTAAAAAATGAATGGATATTTTTAAATAAGCCGGCCAAAAAATTATAGCACAGCTATACCAAAACACAGGAGATGTAATAACCAAGTGGGAAAGAAGCAACACTAGGACTGTACCTTTTAATTAAAGGATCTAAGTTGAGATTAAATATGTAAAAACAGTGAAAGACTTGAAAATACAGGACACAAATCAAATAGTAATCTTTGGGGCATACCATGGCAGAGTGTCCCAGACTCACTGACTTGCCATGTGAGACTGACCATCAGAACCAGCATGACTGCAACAACCATAGGCTGGATTGCTTAAAATTTCACTTATACTCATAACAACATACTGAGGAAGACAGGGTAGGTATTATTGTTCCAATTTTTTGCAGATGGAGCACCTGAGAATTAGGCAAGTTAAATGAGGAGTTGCCTAAGGTTCAGAGATAATAAATACTGGAACGTGGGATTTTTGAATCCTAGGCACATTTCCTTTCTACAGTATCACAGTACTTCATATCAGCATCTGCAAGGTCTCTATGAAATGTGACAGTCAGGGAATCCTCTCGTAACTCTGGTATTCTATGAATTTCTCAAAGGTAGGGGATAGCTCTTATTCACACTTTCATCTGTAAGCATCCAGCATAAAGCTTGACACATCATAGGTGTTCATGTTTAATGGAGTGAATTAATTAATGATAACAACAGTATATCATATTTTTAATATGTCTGCTGTATGAAATCCTACTATTTTACGTCTATTATTTCATTTGTGGTCAAAATCTGCGTTAACAAGTCTTATTATCATGGGTCCTAGTACACACACTGAATATCCATTCTGGTCCTCAATGTTTTACTAATTTTAGCTGTATTTTAAATATATATTTGATACTCTATATAGTCAACATAATTTAGCTTCTATTTATAATTAGATCACCAACTTTATATGTACTATATACCAACACTAAACCACTCTAACATCTGCTTCAATGTCCTTTTGACTTAGTTGTATTTTGTCAAGAAATGGAATCCCTTAGTTACTGAGGGAACTGAAAGGTCAATTTCACCGTAAGTTCAATTCCTTATTATATAAAAATAACCTGACAGATTTATGAACTAAGATGAACTAGGATAAATTTTAAGCCACTCATATCTGTGTCATGGTACCTGATGGCAAAATAATCCTAAAATGTTAATTCAGTTATTTCATAAAAGCAACAATTCAACTTCTGAAATCACAAACAGAAATTCCTAGTTTTTCGTCTTTTGGGGAACTCTTTTTCCATTATTTCAGGTAGAAACACTTTTTTAAAACCAGAAAAAAATCTTGGAAGGTCTACTTCAGTATTTCTCAATCCTTTTTCAGGCTTTTTTAAAAAACCTGATTGCCTTCTCTCTCCAGGAAATTTTAATAAATATACACTGTTTATCTATGACTGCATATCTATCTAGTCTTTATATATTTAAAAAAAAAAAAAAAGATTTTTTTTTTTTCACTCCCAAGAACAATCTTTTTCACCATTGAGAACCAGCTCATTTTCCAGGTAAGGACACTGAAGCCCAGAAATATTACCTATTTGCCTAAAAAAACTCTTTTTAGTCTTAGGCACAATCTCAACCCAAAAATTATTGGTGAACTGACCAAAAGACTACTATATATTCAATATAACCATTATATTTTGGTCATTCTTATTTTCACAAGAAGATATGCAAGGCAAGTAACCTCAATCAGCCAATTTTGTGTTCTTTTAAAAAGTAACTGGTTTTACAGAAGCCATTGAAATGAATGGCTAAAATGGATTCTTACTATATTAAAATAAATAATGGCATCCCATACATCCGCAAATGCCCCGCCTCTCGTCATTAAAAAAATTTCTTCAAAATCTTTATTAATAAAATCAGTAGAATTCAGAATAATTTTAAAAAATGATGCAAGAACACATTTCCAGAATTAAAATTCAAGTTCTTAAGAAAATGATTTACTGTATTAGAGTAACCTATTTTAAAGTGAAAAATACCTATATATTTTTCTTCTAACTCCTGGATATATTTTTAACTTAGAGGTTATGTTAGATTAAGTAGTTAGTGTTACTAATACTCTTACCAGTTCTGTCATATGATTCATGACATGTACGTGCAATTTCTGCCCCTAGCTCTAAATAATGACCAGCTTTATCCATTCTGGAACCATCTGCTCCCAGTGCAAACATTCCCCCAGCAAAACAGGCCAAATGCCCCATCTTCTTTTCCAAGTGCCCGTTTTTCCATTCTCCAATAAAGGTGAGACCTCCTCGGGACTTCTTAATAAGATGTTTCTCTATAGCCTATAAGAAAGAGTAGATATTCAAAATTTTAGAAGCAAAGTGTTAGTGTTCAAACTTACTACATCTTTCTAGCGGTCATAAAACCTTGGTAATAAGATAGTCCAGAAATCAGTAACGTTCCCAAACTGGAAGAGTTAATTTATCGTAAGTTTTGGAGATCAAACAAGTCGCACAGAATCTTGAATGAATACCCCATCACTACTGTGACAAAGACAAGGTGAGAGAGGGAAGACTGACCTAAAGTAAAGACATACCTGTATTACAGGTTTTCTTCTTCTAGAGCTAAATGGAATTCATAGGAATCAGTCAATTGAGATCATGATGACAAGTTATAACCCAAAAGGCTCTACCAATTTATTTTCTATTTCACAAACTAAAACTGAAGAGGAAGAGTATCTAGGTTAATCAGAAAAATATGATTTTGGTAATTAGTTAAAATGGTTTCTCCTCTTCCATGTAACTATACCTCTTGTCAAAGTACTTTAAAAAAGCACCATTAGGTGAGACATCGTGTATGTTATAAAGCTTACAAAACTAGTTAGAAGAGGTGCTTGGGTGCTCAGTCATTAAGTGTCAGGTCATGGTCCCAGGGTCCTGGGATCGAGCCCCGCATCGGGCTCCCTGCTCCGCGGGAAGCCTGCTTCTCCCTCTCCCACTCCCCCTGCTTGTGTTCCCTCTCTCACTGTCTCTGTCAAATAAATAAATAAAATCTTTACCAAAAAAAGAAAAAAAAGAAAAGATTAGTTTTTCGAATGCAAGGACAATGTTTTTCATCTTTGTGGGCCTCATGGCATCTGGCATGTTTTCCACATATAAGGCATGCAACAGATGCCTACTCAAGAAACATTTATTGAATGCCTACAATGGACTAAGCACTATATGCCAAATATCAGTTTAACACTTGTGCATTCTGTAAATGACTGTAGGAATTAGTTCCCCCAAAAGTAAGGCTATAAAAAGGATAATAATAATAAGATCCTTGCTTTGGGACACCTGGGTGGCTCAGTCGTTAAGCGTCTGCCTTCAGCTCAGGTCATGATCCCAGGGTCCTGGGATCGAGCCCCGCATCGGGCTCCCTGCTCAGCGGGAAGCCTGCTTCTCCCTCTCCCACTCCCCCTGCTTATGTTCCCTCTCTCGCTGTGTCTCTCTCTGTCAAATAAATAAATAAAATCTTTAAAAAATAAATAAATAAATAAGATCCTTGCTTTAATTTAAAAATGCAATAACTATAACTCTGAATACTGATCATCAACTACAGTCAGAATGGTGTTGCTATATACAAAATCATACAAAATCAACAAAGCCTATTGTGTTTCTTTGACAATCCCAAACAACTCTGATGAAGAAAAATGGAGAGAAAACAAAACTTAAGAATATCAAGAACAGGAGAGGAGGGTGGGAGGATGGGCAAAATGGGCGAAGGGGAGTTGGATACAGGCTTCTAGTCATGGAACGAGTAAATCACAGGGATAAATGCAATATAGTCAATGGTACTGTAATAGCGTTATATTGTGACAGATGCTGGCTACACCTGTAGGGAGCAGAGTAGTAAAGACTTGTCGAATCACTATGTTGTACAATGCAACATCATGTGTCAGTTATACTTCAAGAAAAATAATAAAATTTAAAATATATATGTATCTAATTTTAAAAACGGATTTTTTAAAAAGACTTTATTTATTTTAGAGAGAGAGGTGGAGGGGAGGGGCAGAAGGAGCGGCAGAGAGAATCTTAAGCAAGCTCCACACCCAGTGCTGAGCCCAACAGGGGGCTTGATCTCACACCCCTGAGATCATGACCTGAGCCAAAATCAAGAGTCAAACGCTTAAATGACTGAGCCACCCAGGCGCCAATACAACTTTAAAATCCAATTAAAATCACTAAAGGGCTATGGGTTTGTACTGGATCAGAAAGCAAATAACTTAGTAAGTGGGTAACACACCTTTCTATTTCACAGTTGTTGCTTGGAAATATCACATGTAAGTGCTTCCAAGACTGAAACCTGTTCCAATTTTAAACTGTCACAACACTGTGGTAAGAGGTTATATAACTATGAAATGATACAGTAAAGTGGTTAAAAGCACAGCACCTGGAGCCAGACTGTTCAGTTCCAGCCTCCATCACTTACTAGCTATTACGAGCTTGAGCAAGTTACTTAACCTCTTTGTGCCATAAGGTTCTCAAATGTAAAATGGTAGTGAAGATGAGATGATTTCATATGTGTAAAAAGGGTTACAACAGCACCTGGTGTGTGGAAAATACTAGATAAGTGTTTTCCCCGTATTATTTATCCATAAGGCTCTCCATGTGTAGGTTCAATGTCAGCTGAAAGAAGAAATGTTTATGAAAATGTCTGTGAAGTCAGAAGTTTTCTAGTCTGTGTAGATAATAACTAAAAGTAATTAAAATAAATTTTCATACATAAATATATATTTATTCTTCAACAATTTCTTTAAAATGCCACAATAAAGGAAAACAATACAAGACTTTTAGATTAAAATACCAAAATTCTACAGTGAGGGCATAGAACCAAATGCATATAGGTGTTCACTGGTCACTATGAAACACACTGTATATTCATAGAATGTTAAACAGGTAAATGTTCTGACAAGAATTACCTCAATAGCATCATCATACATTTTTCTCGCCTCATGGTCTGTTTTATCTGACATCAACCATGCTTTTAGTAGGTATTCATAAAAACTGTCTCCCAGCCCGCCAACTGATGTATGGTCTGTAATGAAAGAAAAAGGAAAGGATGGAAGTGGAGGAAAGAGAAGACAGAAGACAATGAAATAATCTTTTTCAAGTATAATGACTTTACTGGTCAACAATTTAAAAATTATATTGACAGCCTTACTTGCAGCATACTTCAAATTTAGTCCAGTAAAAATATGCCCTCATTACTTCTCTCTACATGTGTACCCAACTTTCCAGAAACCCCTTTCTGCTGGATGGGGTATTTCACATATGTAGGAGTCTTTTTCTTCGGTCACATAGTTTGTACAGTGTCACACAACCAAACTTTTCCAGAAGTGAAAACAATTCATATATTAATGACTTTAAACTATACAAGCTGTAAGATTAAACATGAGATACACTTGAATCTGATGTTAACTAAAAAGAGCCCATTTTTCTCTAGGATGGTTAGTGGTGATTTCTGTGCCATAGACAGTAAAGTAAAATAAATCTAAAAGGCCTTTGTAGTAACACTTTGCATAATATAATAAGCTATTGAAGGAATACACTTGGTTGCTATTTATACAGCTTTTTCTTCATATGTTTGCCCTATGTGTATTCTTATTCTACCCCATCTATACTTCTAATCCTATCCAAGGCAACAGCATAACTCCCAAGGCAACCCTAGTCTTCTATCCCTTTCCGTAAGCCCCACTCTACATTTTTAAACTTTGCTTAAAAACTCACATCCTCCCCACACAAAAAAGAAAAACAGCACACTTCTATGACCTGTCAATCATTCATAGAGCACTAGCACTGGTTTCCTACTTTAGTGAGGAAAGGATGGACCGCTGGGTGGTTTATGGAACAACTGGCTATCTGGGGGGAAATGCATATTAATATTTGTATCTTTAGCTCACAAAAATAAATTTGTGGTGGATTAGTGATTTAAAAGTAAAACACAAAACTGTAAGTATTCCAGAAGAAAATATAAGAAGATGTCTGCTCTTCCTAAGCAGATGATCTTCTTAGGCAAAACACAGAATGAAGGAGTCACAAAGGAAAGACTTAAAGCATCATATGGTACAATCTACCGTAAATGAATCTGTAAGACCAGAAACTGAATAGGATATTTACAACATTTATAATAGAAATAAAGATTAATACCCTATACAAAGAACTCTGATAACTAAATAAGGAAAACTGCTTTAGAGCACACACAAGTAATTTAAAAAAAGAAACACAAATTGATAATTAACATAAGAAAGGAAGATCAACTCTATTAGTGACCAGAAAAAAGCAAATTAAAACAATGAGGTTCCATTTTTGTCTATTTAATTGGCAAACATTTTTAAAAACTGATAGCATCCAATGTACATAAAGTTATGGTTCATAGGTGGTGGGAATGGAGGGCAATTTTGTAGTAGCTATCAAAATCTAACTAGGTTTTCTACTTCTGGAATTATCCTGTAACAAATACACAAGTATAGATGTAGAAGAAAAAAGGTCATCAGTGCACTGTATCCATTAATAAAAACGTAAGATAACCTCAAACATCTAGGGATGTAGCTACATAAATTACAGTATAAAGAGACTATAAGAGAACACACAATCATTAAAGAGGATCAGGTGAATCTGTAACCTGATACTGGAAGATATCGATTATATGCTGTTAAATAGGGGGAGGGTAAGTTTCAGAATAATATAGTTTGATACTACAAAAAATTTGTTTGTTTAAAGAATATTATTGTACAGAAAAGGTTTGTATATTGTATAGAAAAGATTTAAAAAGACAGCTGTGCACAGTGACTACCTCTACGGGAGTAGCCTATGTAACTTGTGTGATTAAATCATCTTCTGTTAATAGAAAGTAATAAATGGGGGAAAGTGCCACCATTCACTTTAAACAACATGTCTGCTACTACTTTAGTAATTTGCTTGTACCTTCAACAGGCTGCATCTCAAATGCTCTTATTTATCACTTTTTTTCCTTTAGTCATAAGTATACATTTCAATGAATTCTTACATATATATACACCCACAAGGTAAAAATATAGAGCATTTCCAGCATTCCAAGGTCTCCCTCATGTGGCCCTCACAATCAATACCCAACTTCCAAAGATAACCATTTTTTTGACCTCTACACTAAATGATTTGTCAAGTTCACATAAAATAGCCATTCATATAAAATGGCAATATATTTTCAAGAATGATTTGGTAGCTTACTGATCTCCTTTGTTTTCCATCTAAATATCTAGAAGAATATTGCCTTATGTAGGCTTCTCTGAGTCTCTAACACTTAAAGTGCTTGGGTATTAGAGAAGACAGAGGAACAAGATAGTTTTCTCTCAGACTGCACAAGAAGATCACAATTAAATTTCTAAAGTTCACATAAAATAACCATTTGTATAAAATGGCAATATACTTTCAATGATTTGGTAGCTTAATGATCTCCTTTGTTTTCCATCTAAATATCTAGAAGGATATATGCCTTATGTAGGCTTCTCTGAGTCTCTAACATTTAAAGTGCTTGAGTATTAGAGAAGACAGAGGAACAAAAGACAGTTTTCTCTCAGACTGCACAAGAAGATCACAGTTAAATTTCTAACAGCTTTCAATACTCGTCATACTTATATTTAAGAATTTTATAATGATGGTAACATATGATGATAGGTTTAAAGGATAAGTTACACTTAGATGCTAAATTCCAACAGATTTAAATATTTTATAGTTACTGGAAATCATAAAAGATAACACATATTTGTAAAATATTAAAACAATATGGAACTGAGTAGACAGAGAAAGTCCCTCATATTTAGGGACAGAGATTACATACAGGACAGAGAAATGTTGAGGGATGCATTTTGGGTACATTATTTGCTAATGAACCAGAAAACAGGAATTCACTCAAATTTATCCAATTCCTATTGTTTATGAACTCTGAATCTTTGTGGAATTACATCAGTTACCCTTTTGTAGTGTTCTTTTACTATATTCTAGGTTGCACCTTTCTCAGTTCTACTCACACTCTCTCAGCTACAGTGCATTAAGCAAATTTGTTTAAATAATCCTGTCCATTACAATCTCCCTTTTACCTCCAAACCTCTTTACCATCTTGAGTTAATTGCTTTCTACATTTTTCTGTACTTGCATTTCACTGTGATCTCAAGGAGAATGGTTGGCCACAGTGGTGAAGTTACAGTTCAATCTTCCACCATGAAGCAGAAGTCCTAATAAAACTTTCTCAATTTGAGTTCTTTCTGGATAACTTTACAATTTGTTAATACTATATATGTATGACTTCTCATTCCCCTGTCTCCTAATCTGCTCTCATTGTTGTCCTATCATGAATAAAAATCAAAGCAGGTGGGAACTTAGGGCATCTTGGTTTACTCCAGTATTTCTGGATGGTGTAGGACTTGTAAGTTTGTAACCATTATGTAATTCAGGATGATTTTAGGTGGTACATAGAATAACTTTTTAAAAACTGTCAGAGTCATGGGGTGCTTGGGTGGCTCAGTTGGTTAAGTGTCCAACTCTTGCTTTCGACTCAGCCCATGATCTCAGGATTGTGAGACGGAGCCCTAGATCCAGCTCTGACTGTCTCTCTCCCACTCCCTCCCCACCCCCAAAAAAAGTCGTTGTCATAGTTACATAATGACTATTGTCAAGATGATCTTTTAACTTCATGCAAGATCCTGCCCCCTCCCTGGAGCACATACCAACAACAAAGGATGAAATCATTATTTAACAGGTATTTCACACTTGAAAATAAAATAAAAATTGTAGTAAATAAGAAATACAAAGAAACTCATAATGTTAAAAGCAGGAGTTTCTATTTCTTGAAAATAAAGACATCTAGAAGTTTACTTCCTCCAACATCATGGGATTCAAAGCACTCACTCATGGTGGGACTCTGGGTATGAAATAAGTTTCTAATATCCTTGGGAGAGCTGACATTCCAGTATAAAAAACACCAAGTTCTGAACTGATAAGCCAGTGGAGGCATTAATAATACTGCCAGGAATGGAGTAGTAAATAGTGAGAGTGGAAAGAAAAACACACATCATGGAGCTCTCTCAAACTGAGCTTGCAAATGAAAACTCCAATGCACATAAGGAAAACTCATCATAAAAGAATTCAACTATGCAAATAGGAGAATGTACTATACCATGAAAAAGTAAATAATGCAGCTACCTTCTAAAAACAAGTTTAATATTTTAAAAGTGTACGAAGAGAAAAAAACGTATAAAGCCAAAACTGATCAATTTGCACTGAAAAATGGGCATAGATTTTAATACAACTATTTGAAAATTGACAGATCAGAAAAAAAACATTAGACAATGAATCTGATAACAGTCTTGTTTAATATGCTGAGAAGTTTGAGTTGCCTTAAAGGAAAGCAGACTCTGCTAAACTACGAGCAATTTGACAAGAGACACTCATTAGCTTGTTTCTTTATATACCCTACAATGCTTTGCACAATTCTTACTTCTAGTTAAGAGTGCTCAATAAGCATTTATTAAATGAATGGCTATTTTCCCATTTTCAAGTATGAATAGCATTTCACAATTACAATAACTTATCTTTTAAGGTATTTTTTCTTTTTTGTGGGGGAGCCTGGGTGGCACAGTCAGTTAAGTGTCCAACTCTTGGTTTTGGTTCAGGTCATGATCTCAGGAGTCACGAGATTAAGCCACACGTCGGGCTCTCTGCTCAGCAGGGAGTCTGCCTGAGATTCTCTCTCCCTCTCCCCCTCTGCCCCTCACACTCACACACATATTCACTCTCTAAATAAATAAATAAATAAATCTTTCTTTTTTTTTTTTTAAGGGGTATTTTTTCTTTTTTAAAATGAATTGGATAGGGGCGCCTGGGTGGCTCAGTTGGTTAAGCGACTGCCTTC